CCGCGAACACTTCGGGCAATATGTGAACGCTACGGAAGCTACGCTCGATTCGCCAAAAATTAGAACCCACGAATAATTTTAAATTTTAAGCTTTGGCCCGATTCGCGAATATTTGAGCCCGCGAAAATTAAGTCGTTTATGGTATATAGTTTATACACGTATGCAGGCATATTTCTTAGGAGATGCACATTTACTGGAAATTAGTTTGTATGGTAGCAGCAAAAACGGCCGAATTGCCCAGTTGCCTGTATGATATGTATTGAACTGCCCCAAATATGCGCAGCAATAGTGCCGTAATTTGGAATGTCTATACTTTTTCCTGACACTCTTTATTTCAGCCTTGGGTATTCGGAAAATACACCGTTTAGTCTGAATTGCCATTACCCAATTAAAAGAGACACTGCTGCAGGTCCCCAAAAGCTTCCTCAGCCTCCAAACTGCCCTACAGCTGGACTCGCTGACAACAGAGGAAAACAGGAGTCAAAGCAAGCATTCGAACGTCTGCCTAGAGGTATAGATGCAGCACTAGTAGCAGAAAATCTGGAAACTGTGAATGGCAACACTCTGCATGAGAAAAGCTTCGAGTATTTTAGCTTCAGGACAATTCGATTTAAGTAAAATGTCAATTTTAGGGCTTAAGGGACTAATACCGAGCTAGACATCTTAGCTTACGCTTGTTATACATTACTTGAGGATTGATATAAACAAGACCACAAATACCACCCATGTAGTCCATTGAAATACTATGCGAATCCAGCAAAGATCAAATGCGAGCAATGTATATAATAAATGTTCACTATTTTTTTTCTTTGCCCCTGCACTTGGGCTGTCTTACTTGTGATTTTCTCCCCATGGCCCAGATTGTATTTAGCATGGTGCTCGAGCAACATGCAGCTTTTCTGCTTCGGCGATCTTGTTTAAAAACAGAGATACGAAAAAAAAAATAGTATACATGACCTGCCAATTCATTCAGACCATCAGCAGCATTTATTGTGCGAGATGTAAATCTATAGTGATGCTCCTGCAATTGTGGTCATATTTCTTTATTTTCATATACCAGCTGTGATTCCTGCGTTGCCTGCCCTGTCAACCATGCTTAAAATGTTGCTTGAAGTTTCGCCTGTAGCTACAGGCCATACCTCAATAAAGTGACATATAAAAATTTACACTTCCTACGGAAAACACGCAAGAAAAAAAAATTAAATAGAAAGGAGCGCCCCGACAGCTAGCGTCGTCACAGCCTCCACAGGGCGAGCGGGGCGAGTCGGGGAAAAATTCTCTCCTTGCCGTGACGTCACCCCGGTTCGCCGTAAGGGGGCGCCACGCGAACTTCTCGGGACTAATACACCGTTTTTTTCTTAGAGTGTGCGAGGGGCACCAATTGGGTACGAGAGATGTATCAAATACTTGTAGAATACATCCTACTCAGCTCATTTGCGTTGGACGGAGCGGCTACTGCGCCGATTTCTCCCCTTGCGGTGTGGACGTCTCGCCACACCGGAGACTGGAATACGCATGCGCGCCGTCCCAGCCGCTTTGCTCGGGCCGGAGTAAAAAGGACTTGATCGCCGATGTGCCGATGGGGGGAACTTTGTGCTATGAGGACGGCTGCAAGAAACGCGGATCGCCGGGAAAGGTTTTCTCGGGATCCACGCATGTGAGTGAACGGCATTTAGAATATCCTGTTTTAGATATCGATTGATTCCTCTCAACTAAATGGCGGGGGTATATCATTTCAGTTCCTAGGAAGGAGCAGTTCGCTGTAAGCATGCATGCAAATTTTGGCGCCGTTTAAAAAAAAAAAAAAAAAGCCGGATCCTTTGAGTAACAAACGTGTGTGCTCTGATTCTTTTAACGGAGAACAACTTCAGCAACTCCAATTGGAACAGGAGTATTCGTCGGTGCACTCATTTTTATTTACATATGTACATCTATGGACCCTGTCAGAGATCGAAGAGATGTAAAACGTGAGCTCACTTTCTCATGATGGCTTTGTACATTGCCGTTCTTCATATTGTCAATATTCCTACAATACTCCCCCTCGAAGACCAGGGCATTGTTGCCAGTGCACATGAAGTCAAAATGATGTCTTGGGCTTAAGTGTATTGTGGCGTCTTACTGCAGACTTGAGTTGTCTTGTCGAGAGGATGCTAATCCGTGCATTGTGGGCAGGCTTGAGACGATGGATTGATATAACGTACTTTCTTGTCCCCAAATCCACATGGAAAGTCTCGTAGCGTTGAAGAACTAGATAAGGCCCATCATACGGTGCTTCCAAATGTTTACGCACCGCATCACGTTCGGGTCACCACATAAAGTGTACGTCTCTATATTCCATTTTATTTACATATACGCATCTGCGGAGACTGTCAGATTAAAGATATCTAAAGCACAAGCCCTCTTTCTTGAGATGCCTTTGTACTTTGTCGTTCTCCGTAGTCTACGTTCCCACAATACTGATATTCATATCGTTGGGACTAATTTAGTTTCCAGTTTCTCCAAATATATATTTCTGCTGGGGAGAAGCTTTTCACAATGTAGAAATGTATAGATGCAGAGCTTTTGGAATGAAAACGTGCTTTTGCTTCACAAACTCAAAAACGACCATAATAACAGGTTCTCAAGGAAGATGCTTGTGCTGGTATTTCTGGTGTGCGCGTGCTCAAACAACGAATACCTCCCGATCTTACGATTTTCAAAAATAGTGTATTGTACACCGCAGGCTAAAGCAAAACAAAACATCAAGGAACCTGGCCAACGAACCTGCAAAACAGGGCGCCACCGAAATCAGGAATCCCAAGAATGTGGCCTGTGGAGAAATAATTTGCATAACTTTTTGGCTTTAATAAAAAAAATCACTTTAATAAAAAAAAGATGCATAAATTCTTTGTCTTCAAAAAATTGCATTACTTCATTGCCTTCAAAACGCTGCTTAACTCATGAGCATCTCCTGGTTACATGGCACCATAAAGGCACCTAGGTTACATTACATTAAGAGATTTGATGTCTCCATACATCTCGAAATTTCAGATCTTCTCAACTTTTGCTATTTTATTTTGACAGTTACGTATGAAGTCCTTTCAGAATATTATTATCTACCCCAAAAATATTTCTGTTCTAATATATATATATATATATATATATATATATATATATATATATATATATATATATATATATATGGAACTAGCAAAGACACATTGAGCAAACACTTGCATCGACCGAACGGCCTGATGATTACCGCGACTTTTATGGCAATAGGTGGCGCCTCTCACCACTCTCAATTCATTAGGAAAAAAACCCAAGGTGGCTGGTCATCCACACCATTCAAACTGCGGAAAACGTGTCTGCGCCGAGGCCATTGTATTATTGGGAAGTAGGATGCATTATTCGTAGTAAAGTGTTTGGATGTGTCTTCGGTTGAGACACGTCCTCGATCAGTGAGAACACGAGTCTCAGTCCAACACTTACGCAGCATTTATTGTTCAGTCTGTGCCCTAAGCCCGTTCCGCGGTACGTGACGTAGAAAAACCAGCAATAGGGCCTTCTTATCCAGACGGTTTTAGCTAATCCAACTCAGTATACACGTACGTTACCGAACACTCTTAGTTTCGGAGCTCTTTGAAGCTGTGACGTATGCCTACCAATAATGTGTATCAGATGCCAGAAGGAATGTGGAAGCGCAATGTTGTATAGTTTACAAGGTGGAAAGTTATATCAACAAAACGGTAATAATATAACACCTGAGAATGTGATACGAAAAATAACATTTCAAGCCCAAGGAAGAAACAACTGAAAAAAAAAACGTCACCACTGGTTTTTTTTTCATTTGACTAGAATTATTACTGGAACGCATGTACGTACACTCACAGGTTTTTTTTTTTTTTTTTTATAAAAGTGGACAGGTTATTTATGCTGGTAGAAATATTATTTGGAGCTGGGCGGATAGATACTTTTCTTTTAAGCAAATTCTATTTTTTTTAGCTTTAGTAGAGTAACTGCACGTAATGCACAAGCTTTATTATTATCGTGGGTGTACGGAGTAGGTGCCTGGTAGGTCCACTGCAAAAACAGATTGCAGGTTTTTTTTCTAAGCTTTACAGATTTGTTTAAAAAATGTCGTGAAAGCTACACTTATCCGGTTTCTGCGGGTGAGTTACACGGCCAAGAAGAACATAGTATAGGGTCCTAATCGTAGCGATCAGCCGGCTAATTAAGTAAAACTTGTCAATCAACTTTTAATTGGAGAACATAGGCATATAGTTTCAATTAGGAACTTGCTAAGCCTGAATGAAAGCCAATGAATCAACTCTTTTTAGAAGGATATATCGCCAGTGAAACATTTCAAGGCGTTCTGAAAACATGCTCCATTTGTACGCATTTCTAGATTTCAGTTTCTTATCGGAGCGCTTCTCTGCGCCCGCGGTCCCGCTTCCCAGTGGTTGAGATACGCGACACACGCGCCCCCTACCTCCCGCCATCTTACGTGGATGGGAGGGACGCATCTCTTCTCATGCTCCCCGGTGGTCGCGGGGCTTCGCGCCGCGACCACCAGGGAGTAGGACGGCGAGCGCAAAGCTGCGCTCCGAAAAGAAACGGAAACCTAGAAACGCGTTCAATTTGAGTGTTTATTCAGAAAGCCGTAAAATGCTTCCCCTGTCTTATATCTTCCTAAAAAAGCTGATTTAGGGGTTTTCGATGATGCTTAGCAAGTTTCTAATCGAAACCATATGAATATTCTCACTAATTAGCACGTTCGTTAAAAATTATAGTTAATTAGCCCACTGATCATTACAATTAGACCCCTATACTGTGTCCCCCTGCCGTAAAACACACCTGCACAAAGTGCGTAAGTGTAGCTTTCACGACTTTTTTTCTAGCTTACCTGTGAATCTTAAAGAAACATCATTGTAAGAAACTCTTCTTTTAACTTGAACTCCTCAAACAAAGTGCTTTAGTCTCAACAGTTTATTCATGACACTGAGTTTGCCAGGAAAGGATTAATTGGTGTGGCACAAAGAGTCTTTGTGGTACCAAACTACAGTTTTGTTGTTACATGCGCTTATATATCTTGAGCAGAAAGAAGAGGGCAGTCCATCCTTTTCCGGACGCTTCTTTTCCCAAAGCTCGCAGTCGCCTGCAATTGAAAGAGTTGCTGCAATTAAAAGTCTCCCCCACCCCCCCCCCCCCCCCAAAAAAAAAAAAAGAACGTACATTTGTAATTCAGTATAATTGTCCAATTTGCTTTATGATGGTAAAGACAATAGGAAAAAAAGGAAGAAAACAAAAAGGACAGCCAAGGCTGCCCACGAACTAAAATGAATGAGGAAAGAAAAAAAATGGGGACAGGGTTTACTTGTAAGTTAACTTCTTATACTTCGCTTTAACATAACTTTGCCAAGAGCGAATGCTACGGCCCTCTAGAATCAATCAAGGCAATGAATAGGAAGCATGCACGCGGTGGCCCTCACCAATAATTCAAGGACCAAAGCCAGGGTGAAAAAAAATACTCTTTTCAATTAGCTCTAAATTAGCGATTCTTTTTCAATATACTCATTTTCACCTCAAGAAGTACAGATAAAAAAGGTCCGGCTACTTGCGGAACCTCATTTCCCCCTTAATTCTGATAATTCAGATATAGGCAGGTGCATTTTAGATTAGATATTGAATGCCCCTTAAGAATATTCCAATGATTACAACTGAAAAAGGCTCAAATGCGCACTAAGCAAATGTTAGTGTTAATTTGCAACTTTTGATTGATCAAGGTTATTATTCGGATAGTTCTGCAAGTTCAACTCATTATCTATCCCTACTTTTGTGGCAAACGTATAACGTTAGAGCGTGTAAAATTCGTTTGAGAGATTTATGGCAATACACCACTGAAAGTAGACATTAAAAAAAAAAAATGTATGAGTGATTATATTTTCCGACAGAATAGGCGGTAACGAATCATAACGGATAGTAGAAGAATCCCAGCGAATGACGGGACTCAAAATACGATTTAACACATTGATGCGCCTGCCCATTGTCCCCTACGCTCCTCGTGCATCCTTCCTGCGGGCTGGAGATGCTCCATCCCGAGCACGCAGCTGATGCTTTTCTTAGCGCTTTGGTTAGGCGCGCGTCGAAGTGTTATCAAAGGCAAAATTTGCTTCTGAGAGAGCCTGCTTTTACTGCAGATCTTACGTGAAAAAGATGTTACATGAGGAGTTCTCACCTATGGGAAGTTGAATATTTGATGTGTCTGGAATTCTTGATTATCGGGGACAGCGATTGGCTCGTGTTTGCGCTTAGGCGAGAGCGATGTTTTTGAATGAGCAGAGCACGTTTCATGTCCTTTTTTTAAACTTTGTACTTTATACTGTGATGTGCTTCCGCATCAACCACACCTTAGGTACCAAAGTTTGAAAACGGCTGCTTACCTGTGCTCTCATGGTAAAAGAGAGCGCATGAGTAGCGGTCCGTCAACAAGAGATATATTAGTCCAGCTTTCTCTGGGGAAAAATAGTGGAGAGGTTTGGTAAATGAAGAGAACTTACAAAAATACGAAATAAATAAACGAAAAAAACACCTACTAGTTCCTGATCCCTGGTGTATGTTGGCTTCCATATAGTTGGGAGCCTCATATCCTGCCGATGTTTTTGGTATCATGTCATACGTCGAAGTTAACCTGTAACGGTTGTTAAGCGAAAGTCATAATCGAATAAGCGTTTTTCCTTCAGCACGTTACGATCACGGGATATAATTACAGAATTTGTTCGATTGCTCGAATTTACGAGAAGAAGTTAACGAATTTATGGGGAAAACAAAAACTCATAATTGAGAGGAAGGGATTTCCGAAGTTCACCCAGCAAACTTTTAAACCTATACAAGTCTACGTACACTCCGGTTTATTTTAAGACCATGGTCCCACAGTGATCGTCTTGAATAGATACAAAAAGGGTTTTTTAATTTATTAAAAAAGATATAAAATAATTTTTTAGATACATTTTCGCTGACATAACCCCTGTGGTTTTTGGGAGTGTATGGCAAGCTAATGATATTATAGGTTAAAAAGTTAATTAGATGATTTACGAATAGTTATTGCCACGTGCTTCAAATTGTATGCCCTTATATTACTGTCAGGAAGGAAATAATGTTACGCTATTTACTAAAGGTCACAACGGACGATGACTTCATTAAAATTTTCTTTCCAGTAATGTTATTTGAATAAAACATTTTCTGTTTTAAGCTACTCTTTCTGGAACCCCATTTAAAACACAATTTCTAGAAGAGCTTCCGCTCACTCATTTATTAAAATACTCAGCAGGCTGTGAAAATGACCAACCTTCAAACATTAATATTGTGCGAGACGAATGATAAGTACACGCCTGAATATGTACTCATTATTAACCAGTTATACACTTAATCTATTTATATATCAACTTGCCCAAGAATTCCCAGGGACAAAAAGAATGTGCTAGCGTGGATTTTTTTATTATGTACACTTAGATTTTATTAGGAAATTAGTAACTGTTTTGTACTTATTCAAGATGACCAGAGCAGTTGCCTACAATACAAGAGAGCAAATCAAAGAGCGTAAAAAGTTCATCGGCGCGGCGCTTGTCATGTGTGTAAGCTTGCTGTCACCAACTCAACAAATCACACACAGTCATTGCAGTGTAAAACTACTTTTTTTCTGTGCGTGATTGACTTAGCCAACGATGTCAAACCCCCATTGACGACGAGCTCTAATGACGAGGCACTTTTAACGCTGTTTGATTGGCTCCATAAAAACGTAGCGTCGGCTGGGGTCGGAGTTAAAGTGAACCGGAGTAAAGAACCGGAGCTTATTCTGCATTATTACCTCTCTTCCTACTGTAATAATAATAATGTTAGAAGGCGGAACCCTTGCCTTGGATAGTCCCAAACTGAATTGCATCGGTAGGGCGTCTCTTTCTGTTCTCCAAACTCAGAAATTTTAAGATCACTTTGCAGAAGTAAAAATAATACATACCTTAATACTTCCATAAAATTACGGAAATGAAGTTAATTGGCATCACAAATGACCACAGAGTAGACGTAATTTAACTTACATTACAATTACTTAAAAAGAAATTACTTTGAAACTTGTTTTTTTTTCTTCCCCTTTCTCCAGGCAGTAGTAGACCACTTGCTAAATCGCCTAAGCGCCCCTGTCCGCACTCGAGGAATCATAGAAACGACGTTCCTTCCGTGTTCCTTAGTGATCGGCGATTTCGGTCAATTCGACGCCTAAGATCTTTTGAGTGTAATTATGAGTCATCCTCAACAAACGTAGTGTAGAGTCCAAAGACCTGTGATATCAGTTCTAAATTTCCCGTCAATGTCAGCGTATCTGATACTGTGCATACAACCCTCCCTTCAACCTGAATGAGCTGCAGATATCTCATACAATGTTTTCATTCCCGTGATGGTTGTTTTAACAGGAAGTGCTCAAAAAGCCGAGGACTCACAACCAAAACCAGGATTTAGGTATGAGTCCATGTTTAAAGTCCAAGTTATTTTTAGCGTGTTTGAAGCTTTACAAGGATGATAATATTGAAAGAGAGTTCTGCAACTCAACCAGGTTGAATTGTGAATTGCATGCAAAATATCGAAAACGCTGAGATTGAGTAAACACTTTAAAAGTGTAGTGACAGGTCTTTGGTCTCTACACGTTGCTCACTCAGGATGACTCAGAATCACACTCAAAGGTGTGTGAGTGTCGAGTTGGCCGAAATTACCAATCACAAAAAAATTGAAATAACACCGTTCCCATGATTTGTCATGTGCGGGCTGGGGAGCTTGGGGGATTTCGCAAGTAGTCTATTTGTGCCCACTATAATTTTTCACGACTCAGTTTCCCCGTGGCACTGCTACAGCCACAGAAGCGCTGATTGTGAATGTCCGACATGTTTTCTCTTTAAAAAAAAAAAAAGACAAAAAAATGACGGAAGTGTTAAACAAAGAGCATATTCTTCATTACATATGACTGAAATAGTCGGCTCATCGGTATCGATGTTCATTCAACGGTGAGGGTAATCTGTTATTGGGTGATTTGATTCCGTCGTGATTTTGTTGAAGTGATTGTCCTTTTATGCTGGTCGGGTCAGGTCAGATCGTTTCCCCGTATGAAGGGGTACTAACAGGGGTAGAAATCTCTCCATTCACTGAGCGAAGGGAGGAATTTCTCCCCGGTATGCGCGTCACATGTAGCAAGGCCACGCTTTTGTGCGGAGTCGCGCTGACATGAACATTTCAGGAAGATGGGTGAACCTCCGCTCAGGCTGCAAAAACAGTCCCCAGCGGGCGGAGATTTCTTCGCAATTGGCTGTATTTTGATCGCGTGTCTGCCAACTGTGCAGATTTTTCTCTGTGGGATACCTGCGGTGGCATTGGGATCGCCCAACTTGTTGAAGCATGAGCTGTTGCCCATACCGTCCTAGGCACCCGAAGAGGTCTTGAATATTCATCAGTGCCGTACACAAACCGCTCCTTGTGCAAATGCTTCTGAATTCCACAATTTCAGCGTTGCATCCACGCATTCAAGACCTTTTTTTAGCAGAAAGCAGTTCGTTGTCTTCTGCATCTCACAGCGGTTATACCAAAAACGCGTATCGCCGGTTTATGTACGCCTGGTTTTTTCTACTCTCATCAGCTCGCACCGAGCCCTGTTGTCGAGAGTGCGACCGCTAAAGGCGTCTGATAACTCCGACATCCTTCTCAACTCCCCGTTGTTTGCCTGAACGCCAGAGTCGGGAACGGAGTCCCGCTGATCCCCCCGAGTACTGACGTCATGAACATTACTCCCCGAAAGCACCCCCCCTACGAAATGCAGCGACTGGTCTAGTGCCACTACCCGAATGCTCTTGAGATATAGACCTTCTTCGCTTACTTTCGTCCCTAGTTACATGGTAGGCATATCCGGTATGGGCGACGAAAAAATATTGAAACATTTCAAACTGCAAATAGAAAAAAAAATAAAAAAAATAAAGGGGATACAAAAATGTGTGACAATACTCCCTAATGTGTTGTACATGGGAGGCGACGGCCAAACAATGTTTCCGCCCATACTGCAAGTGACGATATTTCAAGAGGGCGGCGTCCTTTTGAAATAGGTCTACAGACGGCTTGCACGTGACGTTATAGCCCCCTGCTGGAGGTCAGTTGGTATTATTATTTCTTGTTCTTGGCGGTAAATAAAACAATGTTTGGCATGAACGCTGCATAATGTACACGCTCGGAAACAAGGCAGCCACAATTGCCGCCGGTGGGATATCAATGTAAGTGTATTATTTATCACGAGCCCAAATGGAAGTGCTTATGCAGTGCTGCAGGCTCCAGTCTACGAGCCGCATTGAAATATTGAAAGTCCGGGCACTATGCCAACGCTGCTAACGTTCCTATTTTACCTCACTTACAGAACTGCCAAGCGTTTGTTAATTAATTCACTAAAGGGGCTGCTATGGGGGCGGCGCGGTGATAACAGTCGACAAGGAATGCGTTAGCATGACCCTCGGTGTTAGCGTTTCGTAAAGGCTTTGGCGTTTACCAAAGGTGATCCCATTCCCTAAGCATCCACAATGCATACTTCTTTAAATTTTTCCGGTGAAGCCGGCTCGCCCAGCCAGCTTCACCCCAGCCCCTGTGACATGCAGATCCGCGTATGATTGCTGCTTTTTGGACCGAATTTTGGCTAGCCGAGCTAGGAGCTTCATTCAGCTCTTCTGTGCCCTTCGGCCACCATGAACGCGTAAGGTCCATACGCACATCTGCGTTTGAGCGCGGTGCGTTCCGTAGCGGCAAGCGGACGCGTTGCGTTGCGAAGAGCGCTTGCGCCAAACTTGTACGCACAGTTGCGTTGACTCGCAGTCAACCCCAGTCAAGAGCCAATAAGAACGCGCTATCATCGTTAGCGGCTCACTAATAGTAAGCGAAATCCACGGCAACATGGCCGGCGCCCAGCGACAGCGCCGAGGTGTTCGGTCTTGGGACAATCCCACTGGCTTAGTTCGACGTGAGCGCGTTGGTGAAGTTAAATAAAAACAGAAAGGATAAACACAGGGACGGACAGAACACCTCTTAGGATGTTGCTGAAATCAGCTCGGGCATTGAAAATGCCCGAGCCGATTTCAGCAACATCCGAAAGAGGTGTTGTTCTGTCCGTCCCTATGTTTATTCTTTCTGTTTTCACACAGAAAAACAGAGCGCTGCAGCCGTGTTGCCAGCGGATGTACGCGTTTTCACCAAACCACATGCATTATAAATATATTAATAAAAAGATACACTTCAGATATTTAATTCCTTTCGTTGCAAATAATTGTCAGAAGTACACATCTGGAATGTTGTGCAGTGGTAACGCACAAAACAGTTATTTTAAGAAAATTACTTTCGCGGACTACTTTGTGGTGCGTAGAAATGAGCAAATAAACGAATTTTAAGTCAATCTCCTGCCAAAAATCTGCGAGTGAAAAGGCGCTTGATCTTATCAGTACGCGCGTCCGCGGACGAGGCGCGGATCGCAGGAATTGGTGACGTCATAGTCACGTGGTACACGGTCCGAGGGCGAAAATCGCGATTTGGTCCGTCGTGTGAATCGGCTATTATACTTCGTTTCAGCTTCGTCCGAGCGCAGCCAAAGCTACGTGCGGCCTGAGCCAATCACACGCCGGCAATAGGTCACGTGATCTCGCTTGCACTTTTGCATCACTCCGCTGCGCCGCTGGTCGTCCACGCCGCCCGCGCTCGCCGAGTATTTCGTCTGCTACAGGCGTTTTAACGGTATCGTCTGCTACAGGTTTAAAAAGTGCCCTTTCACGTTCTGAAATTCAGTCACAGGGGATGTCAGTACATAGGCCAGCCGCTGGCGTCTGAGTCCGAGCTTTCCATCCGTTCGTCATTTCGGCATAGTTTCGAGATGTGAGTACACATTGCAAGGTGCCCGATGACCCGGCCGTTGATGTTTCCTCGTATTGTCTGCATATACCAGAGCTCGAGGCGCAGTGCTTTGCACCTGCTTCTCGGCGTTCAATGTGATCGGCAGGTAAAGGGGTGTTCCGATTTCGCCGCGTATCAGTGAATTGTAGTGGCCCAGACGCTTTTCTTGTTTAAAACGCATTCGCGGTACGACGCGGCCGGAGCCTCCTGCCGGGTTTGAAAGTAGGCATTCATCGCGACCTCTCGCGCCTGACGCCCAAATGTGCCTTTGCGAAAGGACGTTTTGAAACGACTCGGTGAGGAAAGCAGCCAAGTACGTGATTCGGCCAATACCGGGAACGAAATCACACAGAAAAACAGAGCGCTGCAGCCGTGTTGCCAGCGGATGTACGCGTTTTCACCAAACCACATGCATTATAAATATATTAATAAAAAGATACACTTCAGATATTTAATTCCTTTCGTTGCAAATAATTGTCAGAAGTACACATCTGGAATGTTGTGCAGTGGTAACGCACAAAACAGTTATTTGAAGAAAATTACTTTCGCGGACTACTTTGTGGTGCGTAGAAATGCTCTTCTCGAAGTTGCGAACCGTCCCTCAGCCTTCGGCTGCGCTCGGACGGAAGCCGAAACGGTATCCGCTGACTGACGCTTGTTTCTCTGTTCACCGGTTTCCCGCGCGGGAATCCGCCCCGTGACGCCGCATCCTCCCTCGCCACGCCACGCGCGCATTCCGAAACGTGACGTGGTTTCGCTCTCGCCTTGGTCCTTCATTACTCTCCTCCTCCGAACATGGTAGGTTCCCCCTTTCCACTATTTCGTCTGCAGGCGGACGGCGTCAGCTTTTCGCTGTCAAGAAGGTACTTCTGGTAACGCAGTAATAAATGACTGCGGGTTTTTATACCAGTGCGTTGAGTCATTCTCCGAGGCGGGTAGCAGCAAAAAAAAATTCTACAAGCTTCAAAACTATATTGTTTTAGAGCGCAGGTCTTAGGCGGCCGTTTCCGGCTTGAGCGGCGTCGGCGTCGGCGCCGCCATCGCCGTCGGCGTAACTGCCCGTCGCATTATGGCACATGTCCCATAATGACGTCACTGGTGACGTCACGTGTGACGTCACGGGGGTCACGAGTGGCGTACGTGAAAGGGTCACTATGGTCACGAGGGACATTACAAAGGTCCCGAGTGACGCCACGAAGGTCACAAGCTTTACTAGGATTTTCACGAGGCCTTCACGAGTGACGTCACGAGGGTCACTAGGGTCACGAGTGACGCCATGAGGGAGGAAGGAGAGGGGGAGGAGGAGGAGAAGGAGAGGAGGAGGAAGAGGGGTTACCCTCCTCTCCGTACCCTCCCCTCCTGCTCCTCAAAAGCTGCGCTCTAATTCGGCATTGCAGGGAATCGTAAACGCCTTTTCCATTTCTTAGTTACATAATCCTTATTGTACATACCACTTGCCCCGAAGTCGCTCGGTATAGAGCCGCCGAACCAGGGAAAATTTTTCTTCGGAATGTTTTCTCGTTTCTACTTCTCCACACTTGAAAAGTATTCCAGACTCCTTCTTCAATAAAGGGTCTTCCTGGAATGTACCTCCGACCACGTAAAACTTCATGGGATCTAAGAATATCTGATGAACATACGCAAGAGTTAGAGTTCAATTATACACATTGTGCGCACTAAGTACTTAAAAAAAATTGAGTTGATTGAAGCAATTGTTTTTATGAGGTGTAAATCGGTAAATAAATATGAAAAAGTGATTGGCTACTACCTTAGCATTCAAAGCCTTACAACGAATGAAACAATTTATTGGGAATTGATGAGGGGTTTGGTAAAATTGTGTGTCACGTGACGTATAGAGTCCCGCGAAATTTAGCGAGGAAATTCAATGGTTCAAAATGTCACCTGGCATCAGGTTGCGTGACGTCACTTCCACCTCTAAATTTAGCAGGGAATCTTGATTGGTGTTTAGGGCGCAAGACGTGAATTTTCACGCTAAATTTATTGGGGGAGTTGAGTTGACTATCGTTGAAGTTCCGTCAGTTTCTCGAAGGTGTGTAGGACATGTGACGTCATGTGACGCTACTTTCCCCACTGAAATCAGAGGAAAATATACGGACGAACGGACGGAAAAAAATGGGGGATTGGGAGGGGGGAGGATGGGCAAGCGTTTAAAAACATTTTATTCTTTAAAACAAGGGTGCAATAGGCTGGTGAAGATCGAACACCTATATCACCCGAGACTGGAGTATATTTAGAACGTTGCGGTTTCAAGAAATCATTCTATGGCTTGGAGGATCATAGGAGGTTGTTTCGTTTCTTCGTGTCCTCTGACCTTGTCAACTTTAGATGCTTGCGTTCAACAGTAAGTGGTAAGCAAGGATGCGCACCCTTACGAACACAAGTATTTTTAGTACTTGTTTTAAATTGTGTCTCCTTGCCGCGTTGTCGGTTGTGTCATTTTTCCTTGTTTTGGGGTTTTATTCATAAAAAAGAAAACAACAACAACAACAACAACAACAAAAAAAAACAACAACGAATGTTTGCATTTAAAAAACTGCGCAGATACGATTTCGGGCACTGCTCTTCGCAACAAAATTCTATTTTCGCTACTCTTCGCGATAGAAGCCATATGCAGATCGTCAAATTTGCTACAAAAATTGCGGACAGTAAACACCGAAGGAAAAAAGGGAGAACGGTGAATGAACGAGATGATACAGTTAATGGGGTTTTGGTTGAATTATTGTTATTCTTTTAAAACTATGTATAAAGGGTTTGTTGATTGAAAAGCCTTTGTTGATGCAACTGAACCTACAAAAATGACACTCATTTTATTATTTTCCTGAGTTTTTTTTTCTGGTTTGATTTACATGGGAGTTCGTCAATAACTTACAGTATTCATTTGGATTCACCAGTGTCAGTATCTATACTCTAGTTTATTTCACCAAAATCTATAAAATAAATTAAAGCTTGTGTGCCGCCCGATGTTCCACAGCGTTCATCCAGGTTGCCGGCATTTTAAATTGACTCGTGACTTATACAGCGAGGTGGCGAAGCGCAATGTGCCACGCAAGAGGCGCTCCGCCGCCAATAAAAGACCGGCGCAGAATTATGCAAGGGGCTTTTCTGGGTCGCAGCGCGGGCAATTATCGTCAATAAATGACTATGTGTTGTTAAACCGGTGCATTCTGTCGTTCACCGAGGCGGTTAGCAACATGGGAAATCCTCCACTGCCACCCAACGTGATTTGCTGCTCTTCTGGTAGGATGACTGCAAACTGGGGTCGTTCTTGCTTTTCACACAGGCTTTTTTAAAATTTTATATTTGACTGCATTCGCGGGGGCGCTTCTTCAAAATCTCCTTAGTGAACTGAACTGCTTCCGTTTCTCCGCTTCCGCACGACCTTCGTTTTGGTGTGTTCATCGTCACTCCTAGGAAGGAAAGGCAGCTGGTCACGAATCCGGCGGCTCTCACCGAGAGCTCGCACGCCTCGGAGCGACCTGCGCAAACGAAGCCTCGTCACCCCAACATAATTTGGCCTTTGGAGCTCCCCCCCTTCCCCCCCCCCCCCCCCCCCCCCCATACTACATGATATCGTCTACACAAGACGCCGACGAAAGCGCGAGTGACGACGTTTCTTTGCCACTCGGCGCACTAGCGGAGACGCTTTCCGTCAGCAACAACGAACCAGGCAATATGTCGGCTATCTTAGTCCCGCCAAACGTTTCCTCAAAGGGAGATCTATCAGAGCTAAGAATGAGCGTGACCATGTTCTTGGCGTTACAACGGTAGTGTTGCCGTTTGGGGAGGGGGTTCAGGACTCGTCAAGTTGCACAAATGCAGCTTTTTTTCCTCAGTCTCCTTCCGTCATGTACTTGTACTTGACGGAGAAAATAAACATTATTATATTATTACTTAGATAAAGCTCTACAGCCCCGCGTTTGCTGCAAACCGCTCCTCCCCCTTCCCCCTCCCCCTTTCCATTGCCCCCCAAAGACCATCGACAGCGCTCGCTTAGCGTCCCTCTTTTTTCAGGGTACGGTGACGGGACTCAGTGGTCACGTTCTTCTGGGAACTCCGAGACTACCAAGTTGCGTCGGGAATAGACGAAGAAACAGTGCGCACTTGTATTTTGCCTTAAGCGCTGACCGATAGTGCAGCGCTCTGGAGAAAGAGACAAACAAATTTTCCAATTATGGCGGCTTTTGTTTCGCGATTCAGAGCGGAGTTCCTACCAGTGGATCACTAAATTAAAAATGCAGGACGAGCTCAGTGCGCTCACACAACACCCGCAGCAGTCGCTCATAGCGTTTGTAAGGGTATTTCAGGGGCTGTATAACCTAAATAATGTAACGGCCTCAAAGGTAACAAAAGTAGCACAGGATATCCCTTAGAGTCACCCAAGTTTCCGCTCACGTCTCAGGGGGCATAGTTTTATCGATCTGGATGAGGGCACGTGCTGCAACGACGATTCAAGCGGACATTTTTGCTGAACTCCGATATCGGCGTTCTCTACCATCAAGCACAGCACTTGAACGAACATCCGCTTGGTCTGGACATAGAGAAGAGTAAGTACGAAAGTCAGAACGAGTCTTACGAATCGGTCGATGACGGCGCCCCCGTAATTCTCGCGCATAGAAATCTCAAAAACGCATTCCTGCACAATCGCGCAGATGCAGAATTACTTAGCGAAGAGCGATATTACAACCCGCAGCAAACACGGGGGCCAGACGTGAAACCCTAGGGCAGAAAATCAGATCCTCCTTCCCGCTGGACCAGAAAGGGTGATTGAAAGAAAACGTGGCTTCGCTGTTTCCGGCGCGGACAACCGCGACTCCTCCATCGGGACTTCAGCGAACCGCCCTAAGCCTGGATACAAGAAAACAACGGGAACCGGCAGTGGTGGACGTCTGCTAACTACCGACAACGTCAAAAACGCGATCCTCAAAGTCCAGGCGTCGCAGCCACTTTCAGGACACCATAAAAAGGGCACGGCTAGCACCACGAGTTCGTGTGAGGCCAGCGGAGTACGCTCTAGACCACGAGGTACTCGGTGCGTCTGCCGTTTGGGGTAACGGCAGGATTCCCATTAAAGCAAGTACTTTGTTTTCATTATCACGGTTGTAAAAACACCGGCGAGCCCGCCTCTGTCCAGAGGCACGGGTGTCCTATTCACATCAATCTTGGTCCTGAGACTGTTTGTACATTCGCTTCGGCGCGGAACCTCCATCTAACGGATCAAATCACTCTCGTTTGTGAGATACTCGGGCCCTGGGAAGGTTCGCGTTTTCGCAGAGGGTGAAGATAACGAGGGCTACCAGACGCTAGTAACAAAGTTCAAAGAGCACTGCGTTCAGCAACAGAACGAAGTATATGAACGTTGCATCTTTCAAAGAAGAACGCAGCAAGAAGCTGAACCTCTGGAGCATTTCATACGGAACCTTCAAAAGCAGGAAAGATACTGCACCGTTGAACAACTCTCCAATTCAATGATACGCGACCAATTGTGTTCGAAAAGAAAAAACAACAGAAGTAAGTACCGTGAAAAAATATGCTGAGGGATGGACCTGGCGCTCCAGAAAACAGAGCAACACTGCAATGCCGCGGATGCCGGATCCAAAGAAAATGAGACACGGTACACAGGCGAAGAAGAAGGGGACGCTACTAAAAGAAGTCGCCTGCGCCTGTCGTAGGGACCAAGCACAGCCTAGCAAAGCTTCAAGTGCAACAGGCGGCGCCGAACCAAGAAATTCTCCTGCACTTGGGAAAGCTTGCCATGCCTGTCATGGGCAAAATCCCTTTGCGATTTGCTGTCAAATGTCAAAAACAACAAATCAACCAGCGTGTCAGCGCGATGCAGCATGACGACGAGTATTTCGATGTCCTGGATGTGGGTGCTTGAAACACTGGGGAAGAGCGGGACAGCATAAGCCGCACGTACTTTGGCCAAGCATTCGCCATTGGCTGGCGAGGGTCTTTTGGCCAATGGCCAAAGAGCGGCCTTTCATCAACCAATGCTTGGCCGGTGGCTGATGGCCAGTGGCCATTGGTCAATGGCCAGAAATAGGCCAAGAGATAGCCAATGGCTGGCCAATGTCAGGCAACTGGACAAAACACAGTTCCAGCCATTGTCCAATGATTGGCCAAGGTTTTACTACTAGTTTGGATAATCACTTTATAAATAGCGCTGCACGTCATCTTGCTGAAGGTGGATACGGGGTCGCAAGCCTATCTCTTGCTCTCATAGGCTCACAAACGACTGCGGACCAATCCGCTTCTCAGGCTGAGCAGCTTCTTTTTGCAGTCGTAGAGCGGGAAGGTAACCCAACGCATCGGTGTCACACAACTAGAAGTCACAATCAACCAGCGTCAAGTCCGAATCAACATTTTCGCCGTCAAACGAAGCCAGGATATCCTCGTTCTACAGTGTGATTCAAGCAGAGGCCAGACTCTTTAAATCGACCTCAAATTTGGTTTCTTAATCTAACGCGCTACGACTTTGTGCGGCGTTGCCCACAGATGGTGCATTTTTTTTTTATTTTGTAAAATTTGCAAAGAGCGAACTTACCTGAGAAAAAAAGTAAAGAAAGAAAAAGGCTTAGCTCCCATGGAAACGCAGCGAAGCCACCG